TATTTCTATTTCTGAAAGCCAGATGCATATGTGACTAAAGAACTCTTTATGACCAAAATATTTGAGCATCCTGATTCACAAAGAGCTATATATAGTTTTTGTGTATTTTTCCAGTTAATATGGGGAAATGGCATTTTTGAATTCTGAATCAACTCACTGAGCTATATAAATTGGTTGTGTTAATGGGTAACCCTTTTTAGGGGCTGTTAAAAAAAAAAAGCCAAGGCTGTGCATGTAAGATTGGCATTACTGCTGGCAACCTCACACACTGTCTTTGAAGTCAGAAGAATTTGTAGTTAATGTGGAACAGGGAGGCTACTTTGAATATTGGTTAGCTGTGTTTTTTTGTAGACATAGCTTACATGTGTGTGGTGAACCTGATTATGACATTGTAGCAGTGACAGTCAAATTATATCAGCTAACTTTGTGGAATATCTGTTGTTTGCAGATATACCAAGCTCTGAGAATACTTACCAACATGTTGAAAAGTCTTAAGTTCAGATTTTATTTAGACAAAGAGGAAGATACAGTAAATGGGATGCAATTCAGATTATTCTCTTCCATTGCCTATTTATTTTAAGGACAGACATGATTATGTCCTTTGATACCACATTGGAAATTAGAGGGGGTATTGTAGGTTCATTCATGAAATGCTTGAGAACTTGCGTCAAAAGGACAAATTGGAAATAGAGTATAATAGGAAAGATTTTCTTTTGTAGATAAAGTCATTTTTAGAAAAGAAGCAGTTGCTGAGGTGTATTATGTTTAGTACACATGGTGTGGGGGATCACGGGGAGAACAGTGTAGCACAAAGAAGGCACATAGTAGATCTGTGGCATCTTGCTACACTGATGGACAGTGACTGCATTGGGGTGTGGGTGGGGACTTGATAATATGGGTCAATATAGTAACCACATTGTTTTTTCATGTGAAACCTTCATAAGGGTGTATATCAATCATACCTTAATAAAAAATTTAAAAAAAAAAGAAGCAGTTGCTAGCCTGTGAACTATTAAGGGTATTTTCCCCAAAAGTCTGGAAGCATATTAAGCCACAATTGACTTATGACCTATTGATCAAATAGGCTTTCACATATTGCTAAAAGAACTGGGTTGGAATAGAAAAGCAGGTGATGGGGTTAGAATGCTAATATCATTTAGAACACACCAAATATCTTTCAGTATTTTATTTTGATGCTTGAATTTATGGCGCCATTTAGGGATTCATAGACTGGGGCCTGATGTAGCAGTAGATGGAGCAAAAGGACAATACGAGGCACAGGTTTTCTGCTGTTTCTTCATATAATAACCCCATGGGTGTGTCTCTAAGTCTCTTACTCTCAATGAATATTAAATATAAAGAAAGAAGGATAAAAGTCTAGATTTGAAATATGAGTAGGTAGGTAGTTTTGAGATCTAGAAGGGAAAAGAAATTTCAACATATAAAGAGGATTTTTTTAAGAATAAGTGCATGTTGCATCCCTCAGAAAACAAACTGCAGACCTTTTACAACTCACTAAGAGATAAAGAAGTCAAACTATATTTTTGAAAAATATACCTTCACGCTTATTCTAATAAACATGATGTTTCAAATTATTTTTATTATTATTTTAAAATATGCATTATTTTAAAAGATGCATTTAGAAGCCATGCATTATTTTTAAAAGATGCATTATTTTGTCTAGGCTGAATAGTGGTGATGCACATGTGTCATTGGTGGCATTTTGTTACTGGCAAAAACAAGGTAGGGAAATTGAGGAGGAACAAAAAAGTACTGTCTAATAAAAGAAAAAAACCCACAGATTTATATCAAAACTTAGTAGCATCTATGAGGCTACATAATCGGTTGTTAACAGATGTGAATGATTTTTGTGAACATAAACATGCTGCTTACATGCTTCATTCCCTTTTTGGTATATAGTGATTATTATTAATCAGTAAGCATTAGTTTATTGTAAAGATTTTCACATTACAGTATCTTGTTGAAAGAATAGGAAAATATTATACCCTATTCAAATAAGATAAATGGTAGCCCTTTTTTTCATGAGAGCCTTTAGAGTTGCTGAATAAGTATATATATCCTTGCTAAAGTTGCAGAAGTGTTCTCTAAGTTGCTATTTTAAAAGTCATGAATAATGACTATCTTCCTTGATAGTATAATTTTCATCAGTCTTTGATAATGAGAGCTTAACAGACACATTTCTTGCTACAACAGGGTGTGCTAATTAAAAGAATGTAATTGTATAAAACAGTGTAAATTATGATAAGGTATTAGATTGTATAACAATAAAAATTTAAGTTCTTGAAAAATGAATCTCCTTTTTGGGGCTCTATATACATCTTTTTTCTAATGTGAATCTGCACATTGGAAGTAAAGTAGTGTGTGACTTAATGGGTGATCACATCCCAGTGGGCAGTGACATTTGTTCACATTAGCATCTTGCTTCTCTCTTTCAGCTGCATAATCTCTTGCATCCCTTCTCTAGCTGACATTTTCCTGTCTGTCATATCAGGTGTTGAGAAACATTACCATTTGAGCCAGACTGGCTGCTCGGTGACTAGGACTCCTGGTTGCTCAAGGAGCAGAAAGGCAGCAGATTTAAATCTTGATGGGGAAGAGATCCTTTACATTTTCCATCAACTGAGTCTGTCACTTAGTCCTGTAAAAAGTGGAAGAACCAGGAACTGGTTGGATTAGGGTGTTAGCCACCAATCAACCCATTTGCTTTTGGTACAAAAATGAATAAATCATTTTCTTTCCAAGCCTCCTCTTCCTCCTCCTATTCTCTTTTCTGTGTTTATTGAATCCTCACTTGCTCAGCCAGCCACAGCATTTTCAGTTATCTTTGACTCTCTCAAACCTCATATCCAATAATTGTGGCTTCTGCTTTGTCTGCCTTTTGTTCAGTGCCCTGGTCCCACCTCCCATTGCCTTTTTAAGGCCTGGACTATTATATTTTCTTAAACAGACTCGCTCTGTCCGTTTCCTTGTTATGATACTGCTGGCACTGATAACATTGTTCCTTGCCAAAAAAACCTTTGGTGACTCTATTTGCATATAAAACTCATGTCCCAGCTTCTCAGCATGGTTCTCAAAGATTTCTGCAAATGTCTGCAAACCAGTTTTTCTAGCTTGTGTTATATCCAGTAACCTTTCTACTCCCAATACACACTGACCCCAGGCCCTGGTTTGCCTTCTTGTGTTCTTTCTCCCTTTCTCTATTTTTGGAAATTTTAGATATTTTTCAAAGCCCAGCTCAAAGATTTGTTTCTTTCTCTGAGTCCCCCAATTGCAAATAACCTCCTCTTGTTCTAAAATATTATTAAATTTAAATCTAGTTTACTTTTCTCAGAGTCCGTGTTATCTCTAGACCTGTTGATGTGCTTAAGTCATCACTCCTTCCTCTTTGTGGGACATACGGAAAAAAAAAAATCAGCCTCTTGGTTAGACTGACTTAGGTTCAAATCTCAACTTTGCCAGTTACTATAAGTTACTTATTTTGCACAGAGTACCTGATTTTACTCATCTTTTTTTCTCATTATCAAGATACTGTAAAATAACTTCCTCTTAGTGTCATGAGGGTTAAATGATTTGACTTCTGTAAAGCACTTAGTGCTTTTACATAGCACATATTCATAAATATTTGTTATTTTTTTTCTTGTTAAAATTATGATTCTCAGTAGTTTATCATGCTTGGTACTCAGGTATCTATTGAAAAGAATTTACTTCATTTTTTCCAATTATTACCATCAAGTGAAATCAATAAAAATGTATTTAAACCTACTGTATAGGAGGCCTTAGAGTAGGCACTGTCATGGATACAGAAATGTATATAACATTATTTATCCTGGCCCATTGTCCCCTAGGAGTTTTCAGCCTATAAATGTGGAGCCAAGGCAAAAATAAAAGAAAAGCTAAATAACTTTATGCATTTTAAAATAGTAAATCCATGTGAACACAAATGAAAACCCAGTAAGTTGCCTTGTGGTTAAAAGGGTTACATACCAAAATAGGATTCAAATAGGAAGGGTGAGTCCAGGAGGTGCAGCAGGAAGTAAAAAAGAGCACTTGGGTATCCCTGGAGGGGTGCTGAACTGAAGACAAAGGCCCTTCCGATGCAATTCACTGCAAAGAAGAGTTAACCACAGGATGTACTCTAATCATTAGTTTCACCCATCTATTTGGAAAAATAAAGCAGTGGTAAGAGCATACAAGCAACAGGAAGCAAAGGAGATGGGAAGTAAAGGTTTAAGTGCAGAACTTGAGAATGTGGCATATTATGGGTACATATCTGCCTAGACAAAATAAGTTGATTTTTGAGACTGGCCTGTTTTGTATAGGAAAGTTGTGTTTTTCATGGTCATCAGAGCCCAATTTGTTTTTTATCTTCATTTGTTCAGCGCTTTTAATCAAGGCCATAATTTACTGACCACCTGTGTCAAATACAGTTCTGAGAGAGGCAGATACTAACACAGAATTAGGAACACAAGGGTTTTTATTGGAGGATGGGAGTATATTACCTATAAGAGATAGAAGAGGAAGCAGGATTGAACAAGGAAAGCTTTCAGTGTGGGATGTTACGTGACACCTATGAAAGGAAAAGGGACAAGAAGGATTAGGCAGAGAGCTCAGACTATGAAACAATTCTGATGAAGTCAACCACCAGAGCAAAGAGTGCCCACTAAAGAGTCTCCAATTGAATTTTTTTAAAAAAGTAACTATTTACTGAATGACTGCAGTATCCTCGTCATGATCATTCTTTGGCAGGGGCTGCCCAAGAGTGTGGCCTCGGCTCAAAACTGTGGCAGTTCCTAATGGTCCTGCTACTGGAGGTTGTCTGCTTATTACCCTCCTCACAGGTGAAAGGCTAGTTCTTTTCTTAATGAGATTGCACCTCAATGGCTGCCATACTACCTTTTCAATAAAAAACAAATGAAAACCCAGTAAGTTGCCTTGTGGTTAAAAGGGTTACATACCAAAATAGGATTCAAATAGGAAGGGTGAGTCCAGGAGGTGCAGCAGGAAGTAAAAAAGAGCACTTGGGTATCCCTGGAGGGGTGCTGAACTGAAGACAAAGGCCCTTCCGATGCAATTCACTGCAAAGAAGAGTTAACCACAGGATGTACTCTAATCATTAGTTTCACCCATCTATTTGGAAAAATAAAGCAGTGGTAAGAGCATACAAGCAACAGGAAGCAAAGGAGATGGGAAGTAAAGGTTTAAGTGCAGAACTTGAGAATGTGGCATATTATGGGTACATATCTGCCTAGACAAAATAAGTTGATTTTTGAGACTGGCCTGTTTTGTATAGGAAAGTTGTGTTTTTCATGGTCATCAGAGCCCAATTTGTTTTTTATCTTCATTTGTTCAGCGCTTTTAATCAAGGCCATAATTTACTGACCACCTGTGTCAAATACAGTTCTGAGAGAGGCAGATACTAACACAGAATTAGGAACACAAGGGTTTTTATTGGAGGATGGGAGTATATTACCTATAAGAGATAGAAGAGGAAGCAGGATTGAACAAGGAAAGCTTTCAGTGTGGGATGTTACGTGACACCTATGAAAGGAAAAGGGACAAGAAGGATTAGGCAGAGAGCTCAGACTATGAAACAATTCTGATGAAGTCAACCACCAGAGCAAAGAGTGCCCACTAAAGAGTCTCCAATTGAATTTTTTTAAAAAAGTAACTATTTACTGAATGACTGCAGTATCCTCGTCATGATCATTCTTTGGCAGGGGCTGCCCAAGAGTGTGGCCTCGGCTCAAAACTGTGGCAGTTCCTAATGGTCCTGCTACTGGAGGTTGTCTGCTTATTACCCTCCTCACAGGTGAAAGGCTAGTTCTTTTCTTAATGAGATTGCACCTCAATGGCTGCCATACTACCTTTTCAATAAAAACTATTAAAATTGAAAGTCCATGAAAGCATCAGTTCAGATTAGGTGGTTTTATGGGGGAAGGCAGCTCTAAGTAGAAGCTGGACTTAGTGAATGTTGGGTGACTTGCATTATTTGGGCTTATCTTTTTTTTTTTAATCTGTTAAATGTGGATAATGACATCTTCCCTACTTATCACATGGAGTTGTAAAAATAATAATATTAAACTGAGAACCATGTGGAAATGTAAGAGGCAGTACAGTATAATAGAAAAATCTATGAAATTAAAGGAAGGCAGACAGGGCTGTCCTTTCACTCATGGAGAAAGGAAATGGTTACTAAACTCAGAAATGTTATAAAAAATAATTTAAAATGCATTAGGGAGCTAGTTATTTAATGTTTGCTATGTCTAGCATTATTACAATGAAAATAATTGCCCCATACCTGAACCTGGTGATCTTGATTTTCCTACTATGTGCTTGTCTAAAACTAGAGATATTATGTATGTATTTCTACTTAAAATGAACAATATTAACTAGTTATTGTTAATTTCACAGAAAAAGAAAATATTTTTAAAAGTTAACGGTAACCAAATTTTACTTTAGATTAAGGGGTGGTAAACTTTTTCTGTAAAGTAAGTATTTTAGGCTTTTATGAGTACTGTGGGCCATATATATAGGTCTTTGTTGCATACCCTATTTCTTTCCTTTCCATCCTTTCTTTCTTTTATTATAATCCTATTAAAATATAAAAATTATTCTTAGCTCAAGGGCACACAAATATAGGACCTAGACTGCAAACCCTACTGTAGGTTTAGTTCTGCTTAAACTTTTTACTTCAACATTTCAGAAATGGAAGAACCCAAAATTCCACATAGTATGAAAAAAGAGAGAATAGGCTTTGATTTCGTATCAGTGCAGGTTTGAATAGTGTTTCTTTTATCAGCTCTGTGACTTGGGCAAGTTACTTAACTAGGAATACTTAATTTCTTCATATGTAAAATGAGACCAGTGCTCTCTGGCTGGGTCATTGCCTGGATTTAATGAAATAATTTGTGAAAGGTACTTTGCCCAGTGATATCATGTAATTAGAACCTCAACAAATGTTATTTCCTTTCCTCCTTTACTATCTTGTGTGATAACATTACCCAGCTTTTTTTTCTTTCTTTGAATTATTCTAACAAAATTCTAGACTGTATTTCTACCAAGTTATCTCACTTGGACCTAATTGTGTCAAATTAATTTGTTGACATTTTGATTGCTTGAGATAAATTATTGACTTTACTTCCTCTTACATCAGATCTCTACCTACCAAATGCAATCACTCCTAAATTTCTTCAGTAGAGCCCCACAATCTATAATTTAAAAATATATATTGATAATTGTTAGTGGTAAAACTTTCATGAGAATTTTAGAGAATTTATCGAATATAAATATTTTGAACCATATGCTACAAGATAAAATCCAAACAGAAAAAAGGTTTATATTTGGGATGGTGATGGATAGTTGCTCATTTTAGTACTTTGTTCAGTAGCCTTTTCCTGTTATTTTACTGTTAATCACAACTCTCTATTAAGACCATCAGTTATACACCTAGTATCACAGCACTTAATATATAAAGTATTTATGAACAGATCTTAAAGGAGAAATAGGCAACAGTATAATAGTAGGGGCTTCAACATCCTACTTTCAACAATGGATAGATCATCCAGGGAGAAAATCAGTGAGGGAACATTGGACTTAAACTTGATGTTTTGGACCAGATGGACCTAACAGACATATACAAAATATTCCATCAAACATCAGCAGAATACACATTCTTCTCAAGTGCACAAGGAACATTCTCTAGGCTAGATCATCTGTTAGGTCACAGAACAAGTCTTAGTAAATTTAAAAAGTTTGGAACCATATCAAAATCTTTTCTAATCACTGTGGTATAAAACTAAAAAATCAGTTACTGGAAGAAAACTGGAAAATTCACAGAGAGAGTTTAAACAACATCCTCCTGAATAATTAATTGGCCAAAGAAGAAATCAAATGGGAAACAAAAATACCTCAGACAAGTGAAAAAAAGGAAACGCAACATACAAAAACTTATGGGCTACAGCAAAAAAAAAAAAAAACAGTTCTAAGAGGGAAGTGTATAAATACATTTTAAAAGAAAAATCTCAAATAACTTAACTTTATACCTAAGGGAACTAGATAAAAGAACAAAGCACAAAGATAGTAGAAGGAAAAAAATTAATTTCAGAGCAGAAGTAAATGAAAAGAGACTTAAAAAAAATTGAAAAGATCACTTAAACCAAGCTGCTTTTTTGAAAAGATGAGCAAAATTGATAAACCTTTAACTAGCTAAGAAAAAGAGAGAAGACTCAAATAAAGGAAATCAGAAAAAGGAGACATTGACACTGATAACACAGAAATACTAAGAATTATAAGAAAATATTATTAACAGTTATAGACCAACAAATTAGATAACCTGGAAGAAATGGATACATTGCTGGAAGCATTCAACCTACCAAGATTGAGTCTTGAAGAAATATATAATCTGAACAGACCAATTAGCAGAAAGGAGATTTAACCAATAATCTTAAACCTTCCAACAAAGGAAAGTCCAGGACCAGATGTCTCGACTCATGAATTCTACCAAACATTTAAAGAGGAATTAAAACCAGTCCTTTTCAAACCCTTCCGAAAAAACATGAGAGTGTGAACATTTCTGTTTTTTTTTTTTAAGAGGCCAGCATTACCATGGTACCAAAGCCAGACAACAACACTACAGGAAAATAAAATCACAGGCTAATATCCTTGATGACCACACATGCATAAATCCCCAACAAAATGTTTGCAAACCAATTTCATCAGTATATTAAAAGGATAATGCATCATGCTCAAAGAAGGCAAAGATAGTTCAACATAGGCAGATCAGATAGTGTGATTCACAATAGCAAATGAAGGCAAAGAATCATATGATCACAAATAGATGCAGAGGAAGCATTTCATAATATTCAACATCCTTTCATGATTAAAAAATCTCAAAAAATGTGTAGAAAGGCCTCTAATGTAAAAAAGGCCAATTATGACAAGCCCCATCCAACATCATAACAGTGAAAAGGTGAAAGCTTTTCCTCTAAGATTAAGAACAAAATAAGGATGCCCATATTCACCATTTTTACTCAGTATAGTACTGGAGGTCTTACCCAGGGCAATTAGGCAAGAAAAATAAATAAAAGTCATCCAAATCAGAAAGGAAGAAGTAAAATTGTCTGCTTGTGGATGACATATAGAGAAAAACCTAGAGACTCCATCAAAAATTCATTTGGTAAAGTTGCAAGATACAAAATCAACATACAAAGATCAGTTGCATATGATTTTACTTATAGACACTGAGAAGTGACTGACAGTTACCATGTGGGGAGTTTGGGGTGGGTGGATGGTGAGGGAGATAAAACAGAACAAAAATTCTCAATCATAATATAAGTTGGTTACACAGATGGTAGTACAGCATTGAGAATATAGCCAATGATTCTGTAACATCTTCCTCTGTTGACAGATAGTAACTGCCCTAGTGGGGATGAGGATTTAATAATATGTGTAACTGTTAAGCAATTGTGTTGTATACTTGAAACCAATATAAGATCAATGATACCTCAATAAAAAAATAGGCTTCATTTTAAAAAATCAATTGCATTTCCATACACTAACAAGGTGCTATTGAGAAGAGAAGTTAAGAAAACAGCCCCACAGTAGCTTCAAAAAGAATAAAATATTTAGGAATAAATTTAGCCAAGAACATGAAAGATCTCTACTGAAAACCATGAAACACTAATAAATGAAACTGAAGAAGATACAAGTAAATGGAAAGATATTGCATGGTCATGGACTGTTAGAATTAATATTGTTTAAAAGCCCATACTGTCCAAAGCACTCTGTAAATTCCAAGGCAATCTGGATCAAAATTCCAATGGTATTTTTCATAGAAATAGGAAAGCAATCCTAAAATTTGTATGGAACCACAGAAGATGCTGAATAACCAAAGCAATTCTAAGAAAGAACAAAGCTGGAGGCATTATACTCCTGATTTCAAACTATACCACAAAACTATAGTAATCAAAACAGTATGGCATTGGCATGAAAACAGACACACAGACCTATAGAACAGACCAGAGACCAGAGAAATAAGCCTATGCATATACATTCTATAGATTTTTAACAAAGTAGCTCATAATATACATGGAGAAAGGATAGTCTTTTCAATAAATGGTGTTGGGCCGACTGGATGTCCACATGGAAAAGAATGAAACTGGACCCCTTTCTCACATAACTCAAAATGGATTAAATACTGAAAGTAAGACTTGAAAACATAAAACTCCTAGAAGAAAACATAGGGAAAAGCTCCTGACTTTGGTCTTGGAAATGATTTTTTAATTTGACATCAAAAACAAAGGCAACTAAAGCAAAAATAAGTAAGTGGAGCTGTATCAAAATAAAAATGATCTGCACAGCAAAGGAAACCACCAACAAATTGATTAGACAACTTACAAAATGGGAAAGAACATTTGCAAACCACATAACCAATCAAACCTTGAGCTCACTTATGACCAAGAAGGTCTTAGCATTCCCCTCAGCTTGTCTGAATTTTAGACATGTTTCTTCTTGACCCTATGTCCTACCTTTTTAAAGAGCATTTACCTAAGAAAACTTGAAATGGTAAATTCTTTCTCAGCTGCCTTGAGATATAAGTCTTCTCCCAGCCTCTTGCCAGTTTTACAACCCAGGAGTGTCTCTCAGGGATCTCAAGCAGCTTGGAGTCATCCCTTAAAAAATGTAATCAAGAAAGATTGTGCCTCTATCCTCTGAGTCCCTGAGGGAGGGTAGAAATCTAAGCACCAATTAGCAAACATAGATAACCTAGTCACATTGACCAATCTCCCTTAATATCTACCAGTATTTTTCTCTATTCAACCCAGCACTTAAAAACTTTCCCACTTCTTGTTTTAGTAGAGTTCATTCTTTTTACCCTGTTAACCATAGTCTCACTCCTCTATTGCAGTAGCCTTTAATAAATTCTTATCTATTTAACTTGTCCAGTGCATTTTTCTTTGACAGTGATTGAGAGCTATCTGGAGTCAGACTTGGCTCCATTTTACTACACAAGTCACGTATTTTAGTTTTCACATGACTAAAATGGAGATAATGATATCTACCTACATGGTTTTTGTGAGGATGGCATAGGTCAATGAATGTTAAGCTGTTAGCTTGCTGTTTGGTGCATTATTAGGTACTCCATAAATTTTTGGTCTTTTTTTTTTTTTGCTAATGACTACATAAAATGACTCTTAATAGCTTTTAAAAAATAAAAGTTATTCATGTATTTAAATTATTTCCATTTGTTTAATTATCAATATTACATTTGGGGAGTATCTGTTTTGCAAAGGGAAGTCTATTTAGTACTTTAAAAAAAATAAAAATGCATCAAAAATGGTGAAAGGATGCAAACCTGTTATGCATTGGATCCTGAGGTAAAGTTACTTATAGGGCAGAGGGAGGCTGTGTTGAGAAACAGCATCTGTGGGAAAGAGAGACAAAACTGAAATGTATTTTCAGATATGGTAGCAAGCTTTATTCTCCAACAAGTAAAGAAAGCTCTGTGCTGTTTATAGTTTAAATTTCAAAATATCTCCTACTTAGGTTACCTTAAAACTAGAAGCTTTAACTAAAATTGAAATACTAAATCTTTTAATAGATAGTATATTTTAAAATACAAGTTGTATTGCAATACTCTCTTATCTTGAATCTACATCATGAAATTTTGTCTCAGTCCCTCAAATGTAAAGAAACACATGCGGAACAATACATTTTATAATTGAGACTGCTTTCTTTTTGTGGGAAGCATGGTAACATATACTTGGGAATTACTATATTCTAAATAACCTAAGTAGAATAAATGTCTAATCATAACAGTTCTCTATTCAGTCTATGCTGTATCTTAAAACAACTTCTGCCCCCCTTTTCTTTCTCCAAAAGTAATCTGAGAAAAATTGACTTGCTGACTTTTAACAGTCTGTATTCTTCTGGGGGGACCCTGCTGGCATTTCTGACTGACTTACAAAGATAAAGTAATGATATGGATCCATCGGAAAAGCCAAAAGTACTGTACTGATAGGCCATTCTTAAATACAGTATGATGGTGATTTCTATTTGGTTGGTTTTAAGAGTCATTACCTCATACAGTCTGTTCACTGTTTGTGTATTTCCTGTTAATGTAGATTCCTGTAACACTAGGTTTATATTTTTAGAGTGTTTGCTCTCATTTCCTATCACTGCTTGAAACTTCTATGTTACAGGGAGGGATTACAAGAAAAGGCTGACCTTATAAGCTATATGAATATAGATAAAAAGACATATTGTGGTTTATGATGTTTAGATGCCCACCTGGAGGGAAGGCAATTTAGGAGCAAAATAAAAAAGACTAAAAATTTTAAGTCAACTCAGAAACAAGATATGCCTATGATGAAGAAAGGATTTAAGTTGGAAAGTTAGTTGTTATGGCCCCCCAGTTGTATATATTTTATCCTGAGGCACCATTTGGTTTAAAAAAATGAAGATCTGAGGCTGTTCTTAACCTATCAGTTTCTTTAGACTTAATTATAAAGGCTATATTTTCAGAGGACAAAAACGTTATTCATTTGTTCATGTGTTCCAGGTTTATCTTGCAGATTATGGACTTGCCTACAGATATTGTCCTAATGGGAACCACAAACACTATCAGGAAAATCCTAGGAAAGGCCATAATGGGACAATAGAGTTTACTAGCTTGGATGCCCACAAGGGAGTAGGTAGGTTTCTTTTTTTCTTACTTATATTTCAGAAAAATGATTTTAGTAAAGAGTAATAAGGCTCCATGAAATGACCTTTGCATAGTCAGTTGGAAGAGTGAGAGTAACATTGGTGAGATTTTTATCAAAATAGTGAATTCCTGTTATGCTGATAAATATTCTTCTAATGAAGAAGATGTAGACTGTGATAAGTGAGAAAGGAGCAAAAGGGTGTCAAGTAAGCAAAACTTGATACTCCTTTTGAGCAGGAAATCACTAGTTTGTAGAGGTTAAGCTTGGTTGTCAGCAGTTGAAATTTTTATGCTGTTGAATATTACAGATTCAGTAAAGTTGCACATATGAGGAAATATTCTTGTTTTTCACTGTATCCTTATCAGAGCTTTAGAAGATGCCATCTCTCAACATTAGGAAATCTATTCTGAAACTATAAAGTGTTAACTTGTGCAAATCTCTTCTAGTCCCCTTTCATATATCTTACTTATTTAAACTCACTTTGATAGTATTGGAAACACATTTGCAGGTAAATTACATACATAGTCCTTTTATTGGATATTGATTGTACTGCCTTGCATTCCAAGGCAAACTTAATTCAACAATTCCCTAATTAGTTAAAGTCATAACCTATGTCTTGTATTCATTTACCATTAATTAAACCTTAGCTGTTTATTACACTGCAGTCCAAATCCAATAGCCGACCCAGAAAACCATAGAAAAGGAAGTACGAGGTCAATATTGAAAATATATGGTACAGAGTCCCACTGATGGTTGCTTTGTTCACAATCAATATGGTCAATGCAACTGTACTTTCTTAGTTGCTCTGTCAGCAAGACAAAAAGTCAATTCTAATGTTATGTTAGAAAAAATGGTGATTATTGAAAAACTTTGGCTTACAAAATTATATTCTTTGTAAACTTTGTTTATAAAAGTATTTTCAAATGTACTAAATTATACAAACAATTTTTAAATGGCTTTGAAAGAACCATATTTTCACTTACAGGCAATTAGACATTTGCACTTGTTAATGGTTGTTGAACTGTTACCCTAAACAGATACTTTCCAATGAGTTTTAGTTGGTGTGAACAACTGTATATTATTGTCTTTTCTATTAAAAGGACCACTGACCATGTAATACAGAGGGTCTTGATCATTTTCCAGAGCAATTAAAACCCACATTAGTTTAAGGTAGGCCAATGTAAAAGTGAAACAAGTGTGTCAATTGTATACTTTCTGCCTTACAAGGAAGAACCACAGGTTAAATTTTCTGAAATGGGAATTAGCTTTTATACTTCAGATAAGAGTAGAAGAAGTCACTACATTTTTTTTTCAAAGATAGTTTGGTTAGGAAAATAACAATCACTGAAATTTATAGTAGTATGTACTATTTCACCATTTTCATTGTTTATGAATCAATGAGCATTTAAAGATACAAATGGGACAAAATTAAGAAATGTTGAGTCAAATGTTCAATGGTAGTGTTTTTTCTTTCAGTTTAAAGTAGTTTCACTCTTAATGAATTTTGTTCTTCACTTTTGCCAGATGTATTAGTATGAAAGAATTTTCAGAAACCTGGAAGTACTGTTTTGATAGTGGTATAACTGGAAATTCATCATACAGAATTTTGGTCCAGTTTTGTTAATAATGATATTAACAGTTGGGCCACTTACTTCAACTGATAGCTCTAATACTGATATAATCTGGTTTTCACTGTTAAATAGCTAAGAAACCACTGTGATTGTGGAATGAGATATAAAGTTGCTACATGTTGGTCTAGTCAGTGTTTGGACTGTGAGATAATTCTGAAAGCCCTCTACAGTCATTTCATAGTTTCAAAGTGTTTTCATGATGCTGTCATTGTGAAAGCTTTGAACAAATTTTCATTCTGTGGTCCATTTACATTTTTTCCTCCCTAAATAATAATAGATGTTGATGAGCTGGGTAGATTTCACCATGCTAGGTCTTTGGGGAGAAGATTGAACTAAAAATAATGGTAGAAAGATGCTAATACTGGGAGGACTACTCAGAGGAGAACCTACATTTCTTTTTTTTGGTATTTGCTGCAAAGTTATATGCTGGTATGAATACTCATTTTTGCTATAGGTTTCACAGGATTCCTATGAAAAGTAGATTCCCCTAATGCATTTAAAATAGAGTTTACACTAAACTTTTAGGCATATCTCTATATATAGATACATATCTCTCTCTATATATATACACATATACATCCATATACACACATGCATATATGCATATATGCACATACATACATGCATATATACAGATGTATATGTGTAATACATAGGTACATGTAAGTATATGTGTTATTTGCTGAAGTTTTAATATGCAGCTATACATCATATACATATAATCCTCAAATGTTTGAATACTATTCATTCCTAAAGTTTTACATTTAAGTTTCCAAAATAAAACATTTTACTTTAGAATTTTATTAGAAATAAAATAATCATTTAGTCATATCTGGAAACCAGAATACATAAGGCCATAAATCCTGCAGAATATTTTCTGTGTTTACTTTCAGTACAGTCACTATGTAGTTTAATCTCAGAAAAATATTTCTATACTAGTCCAGCTCTGAGATCAAATAAATACTGAGAAAGGTAATGCAAAGGAAAACATAAAGAGCAAAACAAGTTATCACTAGGAAATATAACCTCTAGTTGTCAAAACATTTGCATATGTGTCAGGGATATTTGTTTGGTTAGACCCAAAGAAATATTCAGGCTTCAATGTAAAACTGACTTATGAATTAGACATTTAACAGAGACTGTTAGCAGAGATCAGACAGTCTGATCAGGCTACTTTTTGTAGTGGTTATTTAGAAACTGAAGCTAACTCATTTTCTTGTAGATTAGTTGGATTTTTTAAATGAAGGAACTTGTATAAGGTGCCAATCAGCAGTCTCACCTAAGCATTTTCTAGTTCAGCATTATGTAAAAGGAGGGTAGCTTATATTATTACAAACCAAGAAATATGAGTAGGGATAGATAGTGGTAGATGGACAGATGGATGAACAGGCAGGTAACCATCCCTGGAAATATCATACATCTCTGTACATACCTGTATGTTTTAAAACTTGCAGTGATTCTTATCCAGATTCAGTTCTCTTGTATAATCTAAAGCATTTTCTGAGTGGCTGAAGTAGTTCCTATAGTATAAAATAAGAATAATAGATGTTGGGCCTATCTCTTCTATTATGAATTTTTACTTCATAAATTTATACTTCATAAAAACTAACATGTATAAACATTGACATATTTTGGGTTTGTTGTCTGATAATTAAAGAGACATATCTGTGTCAGATACACTATTTTAAAATTTGTTACATTCTTAGTAATGTTAAAAAGCAGTATTTGGATCAATATGTGGTATGGATTTTTGTAGATTTTTCTACTCACTGAGGCATGCAGTCAATACCTAATTTCTCTAGAGATATACTACATTTAACATACTGAGCTTTTTTAAATACTTCAGGCCTGTGCTTTGAGTGTATAATACTTGTTAGGATTTGATAACATTGATGACCATAAAATATATCTAAATTGCATTTTAAATGTCCATTTGTTTAATATATTCAATATTAAGGAAAGAAATACATTACATACTTTTTTATTTTGTCAATTTCTACAGTATGTGTGATCCAAGTCTTGTGTTATTTCTTGCTTAGTTTCATTTCATTCCAATCTAGCACTCCAGCTTACAAAATATATGTGAAATAAACTGAGAATGTATTTTCATGTTAACACACTTGGGAAAATGACATATTTTACACAATATTTATCTTCTTAAACAATAATTCAAAAAAGAGAACCCATTTTCAATTATGATAGCATATTATAGTAAACCATCGTGGTACTGATGTGCTCTGTTGTATCTGTTATAGTCAGAAGAATATAGTGTTGATTTGACTGCTATTAATAGTCTTTGGTTGATATAAACAGTAATGAGACCCTGTTCCTTCTATATGGCATAACCCAATTTTGACATTCAACATGACTTTTGAAGTCTTGACAATGGGTCTTAGACTGGTTGGTTGGGTTAAGAATATACATTTGGCCTAGTGTAGGATATACTGTTGCTCTGTTGAGTAACTTTTTCCTAAGCCTCACACAGTAATGTTTCACAAAAAACTAAACCTTAAAATATAAAAGATACTGAAAAAAAATGAGACCTGGTTTTAATATTTTATTTGAAATATGACATACGGTATTTTACTTTCCTAACATCCTTTTTAAAGTTGTAATAATTTGTAACCATCATGAAATTTTCTAGCTCTTTATACATCTGAATTGGCAAAATATTGAATAATATAGGTTACTAGATGGAAAAATTTTAAAAAAACTTCATTCCTTAGTCACCATTCACTTCATCAGTTGGGCATCTTACTGAGATATATTCTACTTTTTCAAATTTGCTTTATTATTTCCTACCAAACCTTGTTTTACTTCACAATGTTACTCTATATAAGAAATAAAAGTAAACAGGAAATACTTTAGGGAAATAACCTGATCCATCTTGAGATTAACCCTTACTTTATCTCCCAATGTCTCTTTCATTCCATTCAGTGAATTGGGCCCAGATAATTTTATTCAAGTTTATCATTACAATAAGGATAAATTCTCTAAGGTAACTTGTCTGTTGTTCTCATAGCAGCTTGGAAGAACACTTAACACTTTATAAGTTAATGTTTAAACTAGACACACTTCTTCATCAGAATGGAGTAGTTTAAAAGAAAGTCTTCATGAAAGTTGTGAAAAATTTTTTAGTGTTAACAGCTTAGACTTCAGGATCTGCTGCTTGTTTACTCCTTGCCAAAACAACCGTCTTTGTGTCAGTGTGTCTTTTGGTGTTTTTAAGTTAAAATGGCTGCTTCAAATACTTCCCTAACTCTGAAGTAGAATACATATGTTGTTTAAATGGTGTAAGAACTAACGATGGAAGCAAAGTAATTACTAAATTGAGTGTAGGCTTTGGATTCTGAAAGGCTTGGATTTCAAGCCACAGCTCTGTCAATTTTTGCTCTGATACTGAGCAAGTTATTTAATCTTTCTGAGACTCCTACTTGTCAAGAGGGTTAATCATACTTACCTATGTGAATGCTAAGATGATTAAATGAGATAATATAAAAGCAGAGAGATCTGCACAGTAGCAGCTCTGTAAGTTAAGTCAATTATTTTCATTTTACTTATGCATTCTAATGTCAGGTGTTTCTGGAATCTGCTTTCTACTGAATAGAATTCAGATTCTCACCTGTGCTGTTGTTTTTTCTTGTTGTTATTGGTACTCTTAGCAGTACTTTAGAAATGTTGAGCAGTTGAGAACACCACAGGCTTTCAATGAAAGAAGTCATTTACATGTTCCATATTAATAAGCTAATTAAAATTAGATGCAAAATTTTATTTAGAAACTAACGAGTGTGGAGAAAAAAACATTAATAACTGAATCTTGCTACATTTCCAAGGAGTAGCACCATAAATAAAAGTTTCATCTTAAAAGAAACCTATATGAAAATATGCTATTAAAGATTATATTAAGTATCAAATGTAACTGAAGAACCTATTTTAAATTACACAGAAATGCAAACTTTACCAAAAAATCCATATTTTTCAACTTGCAAATAAAAAAATATTTTATATCATTAGATATTAATAGACCTCTTCAACTATGATCAATTCCTGTTTTTTATTTTCAGCATTTTAATTTTTTTCAGACAGGAAATAATAGGATAATATAGTGAATATATAAATATTCACTTCCTAGATTCAGTAATTGTCATATCACCTATATTTTGATGATGTATTTTAAAGTCAGTTAGATATATGATCAATTCATTGTTAATTACACACACATAGATGCTAATATTGTCATACAAAATATTTATTTTTAATTAATTTAACAGATATTAAAGTTATCTTCTGTGTGCAGTAGCTGTAAAGAAGATAAAATCATTGGTAGAATCTTACAATTTAACTTCACTGAAACACATGAAACTTTGCCATTTATCCTCCCGGAGGGAATCTCAGGGAGAAGTATACTCACTCTTTAATGGTGGGAGGAGTGAAGGCAGGATTTTTTCTTTAACATTACCTTGTATTTCTACAGAATTTAGTGGAAACAGTGATAAAACATTTACCTAATCATAGTCATTAGTGTATATATGTATTAAAAGAAAAATAAAGGCTGAAAAGTGTGATCATGTATTTTAATTTGGGTAAGTCCAAACTATGATAGTGAAGTAAAGTTAACTCTCGAAGGGCTATTTCAGATGAAGACCAGTTTATGAAAGACTGACTTCAGAAATCTAAATGACTTGTCATTACTTACAGCTTCATATCAATTAATCCCTCATTTAAGGGGTGAGGGGAAGTGTCTGGGAAGGTTCATTCCATTCTAATTCTGATTGCTTTTCCCTCAAAAGGCCTCCTTCTTGTGTGTAGCCTATGTAGTCCAAACAGGTGCCAGAATATAATTTTTGGAAAATTAAAGGATCTGAATTTTTTTAAGTGGGTAATCAGGAATTGCCATAATGGAAAAGGGACCAGTGAACACATATGTACAAATGGAACCATTCCATTATTAGTGGGAGATTTATTACTGAAGAAATCACTACAGAACAGCATGGTAGAAGATTGTTTGTATTTTCATAGGAGAGCCAAGTCTTGCATTAGGACATTGTTGAAGCTTGTGCAGGAAGTATATGGCACCCATGGGACTACAGCATTCTGCTAAATGGAAGGGCCTCTAATAATCCAGTACTGTAATGTAGTTAAGATAGAGTGTGTGCAAGAGCTAATCTTGTCTTCTGCTGTTATATTAGCTTAGGTATGGTAACCAAAAGTAGTTACGATGTGCTAGTAGCATTGTTCTTTAGTAGAAGACTTTTTAAATTAAAAACTACATTTACTGAGTGACTTTTCAGAGTTTCTTTAATGAAAAATAATAAAATAGGGTACCTGTTTACAGCAGATTTAACAGCCACATATTGCACTTAGGAGATTTTATATCCCTACACAGATGAACATTCAAGCAATGGTAGAAATGTAAATACCGGCCCATTTCACAACAATTTGTAATGGTTATAAAAATGAGTCTTTCTTGTTAATGTTTTGGAATTTTGTTAATGTTTTAATCTTTATTTCAGTAATATTTGTTATATTTGATGTTTCTTAGATTTCATTGTCAATCATTTGAAAGAAGGCACTTTAAAAAATATAGTAAGTTATGATAAAACTGGTCTTCAACATTTAATAGTTCAATAAAACTATTTACAGTGGCCTAAAAATGTTATTTTATTTATAAGCCATCTTACATTCAATTCTGAAAGCATCTGTTTGCTTCAAAATCTACTTCCCACCACTTCCATGCACATCATTGCTTCACCTTTATTTTATTTTCAGGATACATGACTAGAATTTTACCTTAGCATTCCTTTTATCTCAAAACAGTATTTGCAAAATTTTAGAACCGTGTACCCCAAACTGTAAGCGTATTTTATCTTGTACTTTCATTTAGTTGAAAACTCTTCAGACAGACCTGTGTTTTAATACTGCACACTAGATGGCAGTTTTGCCATATTCTTCAACTTCAAATGGTAGTAGTGTGAGTGCAACAGGAAAGGCCATCAGTGTTTAGTCTGCGCTCAGAGGGTCTCTGCATGACCAATGCAGACCCCATGGACTTCCTGTAACATATGTTAGCAATTTAGCTGCAGACATTTATTTCTTTGTTTTACTGCTTGGCTCTTTGAGAAAGTGTTGGTGCCAGGTTATGGGTTGTCTGGATCATGTCAGAGGCCATGGAGATCAAGTCCATATGACAGGCCAGACTAAGGAAGGATGAAGTTGGAGGAGGTGAGGAAACTGACCCTTACTTTCAACAGCAACAAGTCACTGACTGTGGACTGGGGCCAAATGCCTGGGCGTTTAAGTTTTACTCCAGCTGAACAAACAAAACATACTGCCCATTTGGCTTTTACATATTTCATCAGTGGTAGTTCATTCACTGATTTCTCTATTTCTCAAAACTTGCTTATCCCACTTCTTTCTCTCTTAATGCTTGCTTCTCTAGCTCTGTCCAGACGAAGTGACCTTGAAATCCTTGGCTACTGCCTGCTGCGGTGGTTATGTGGGAAACTGCCCTGGGAACGGAACCTGAAGGACCCTGTGGCTGTGCAGACTGCTAAAACAAAGTACAGCTTTTCAAGTATTCCATCATGTACAGCAACAGGTCTGAAGGAATACATTAAAGGGAGTTAATATCCTAGAGAAGACTGTCATTCACCCAAGATGATAACCAAAGCAAATTTCTTAAATATGAAAAATGTTTAAAAAACCAGTTTACCGACATAAATTCCATTAAATTAACACCTATGAAATCACATGTACATAAGTTGTAATGTAAAATATAAAGTGAAATATTTGTTCCTCTACATGGTGTTTTCTATAGCTTATATTCTAGGTGGTGGTATTTTCAAGGAAGAATATTTTCAAATTAGCATTATGTAAGTATATGGAGGCAGTCGGATTCATATTAACTGTGCAAAGCAGAAATGTGAAATGGGACAAATAGGGCTTATGTTTTTCAAGTGAAAAAACAACATACCTCCTTTTTAATCCTGTATCTTGGAGGGAGTGTATTTTGTTTCTTAAGGAAGAAACAAAATTTTTATATGAGGTGTTTATAAACGAGAATCTTGCAGCCACATAAACATTTTCAATATTCATACTCAATTTTTATCACCTAGAATATGTTAGCATGAGAATTAGGTCAGATTGAGAATAGAATACGTTATGATTTTACCATTTTTTCATTGATCAGGCCAAAGAAAAAGTCAATTGCATGTAGCATAGAATTTTCAGTTTTTCATTATATACCAAGATATGCATAACAGTAGTTATCCACAGATATATCACAACTAGGAAAGGCAGCCATGTTTTAAGTAGGGCAAGACACAACAGAAGTTTACAAAAGGAATAGCTGCTCCCTAGAAATCAATCTTCAAATTCAGTGTAGCATTAGTTCTTTATAGAGAGAAAGGCTAGCCTGCAGATGCAGAATAATACAGACTACGTTTTTAAATACTGACATACATTATATGAAATATTTCTCCACATGGAATTTTGATCATCCTAGCCCCTCTTCTAAAACTAACACATTTATATAAGTCAATATTAGAACAATCCAATCAGTTATTTACTGCAGTAATTGGTGTGCCCATATTAACCCTCGTGTAACTGACATTTTTCAATAAATGGGTCAAGTCAAAGCATAGTAATCGGCACATATAAACAGTCTCATATCCAATTTTTCTCCTCAATTTAATTTGAATAATGTACTTTATTTTAAAGACTAGCATTTTAATTCTAATGATGTATCTTTTTTTTTACTAAGACTAATACAATTTTAGCCCTGTTAATATGCATATATAGATACATTCATTGTAGATATTTAATGAATATGCCCAAACAATAAGACATCATGTATAATAGTAAAATGTAATGCTAATAAACACAACCTCCATTTACATTTTGGGGTATTAATATCTTTATTTTGATATGTTTATTATAAACCTACAACCCATTAAAGCTATTATCATATTATAAAGTTTATAATTAAGGTAATCCATAGATATTTTTAAACTTCTTATAATACATAATCACAATTTACTCAGCTTGCTGAGAAGGCATAACACTGATTTCCCTGTAAGGTCATGCTTGCATACACAACCACAATACTGTTTCTCCCTTATGCCCTTTATTTTCCTGACATAGGTTGATATTACATCAGTGCATTTGTTGTGCAATTCTGCCTCTGCCAGAGTTGTGAATCAAAAATTCATATCCATTATTTTAGTTGAATGTATATATATTTGTGCATGAAGCAACTTAAGAAAATTGATCTTGTCATGAAAACTGTCCATCTAAAACACTGGAACGTATTAGAATAATGCGTTTTTATTTTGTCCTTTGGATATTTCTTGTTAACCTGTTTAATCATAGAATGGCATAAAACACTGCCCAATGGAGAACAATATACATAAATAATTAAATAATTTACCCCTCCACAATGGCAAGTACCTGAAGAAAAATATCCTGAAAATTCAGATTTTTTCTATATATTTTTTGTTTTTTAAGATAGATACCCCTACTTCTACATTTCTACATCTACAAACTGAATTAAAGCATTTAAGCTGTAATTCTACATTTAGTTTCTTAGTGATTGCTATGAAATCGATCAGTGAGAACTGAGGGATTCTCTCACCCCTGTCCCCATCTTGCCCTCTTACTCATTACGGGTAGGTGAAAAAAAGTATTGGAAATCACAATATTGGTGACACACCAACATAGAATTCTAGTTTTGTTTTCTAATCAAAACAGTGAATCACAGGATTACAAACAATTGTGCATCACTTTACTTTGTTTCAGGCTGTTGGATGAACTCCCTGAGTCAGTGCTTCAATGGGCTCCTTCCAGAAGCAGTTGCTGTAAGTCAAATGGTAACTTCTGCTGTTTCCTGTGTGGTTTACAGGTCACTACATGTGTCATTCTTGTTTTTAGATTTTGCTTAACCCACCTCCTCCTTTCCACAGGGTAAGAGGAAACTCTTCAGGGTTACAGATAGGTTGCTAGAGAAGGGGGTGTTTAGGTTCTCTTTGACATTCAAATACAATGTCACATGAAAATATTTAGGCAGTGTTCTAGGCTTTGCTGATTGTTTTATTTTAGATACATATTTTGAGAATCATGCATAGGTTTAATAGTCAACTGTATCTAGTATTTCTCAAGTTGACTTTCTGGTTTTGTTCCTCTGTATATTGCTTAAATAAAATAAAGTTGATCTAAGGAAATACTACTTTCAAATCAGTAATTCAAAAACCTAAATCATTACTTAAACACTTGAATACTGTTTAGACTTGGGTTATACCAACTTAACAGCCAGCAAAATAATTTTGGATTGGCAAAGGCATATAACTTTGAAACTTGGAGGTATTTATCATTAAACGGTTTTCTTTTTCAAATTAATATAGAGTGTTTGATAATTCTTTAATTGACCATATTATCAGTAAAAATAGTCAATTCAGAATTATTCAAGTGCCTGTCTGTTTCATCTTTTTCATGTGCATGCACGGTACAGTGTTCAGCACCAATCTAACAACTGAGTTTGATTGTCTTGTAGAAAAGAGCCCACTTCTGTTGTCTTGCTTGCTTTTTCTCAGATACAGATAAACAGAATGACTCTTGCTCTCTATTTATATTGGACAATCTCAACGTTAGCTTTTAGCTGACTTACAAAAGTAAATATGTACAAATGACCCTCTTGCTAAGGTCAAATAATATCAGTTTCCATCTGAGAGTTAAAAAATTGCGTTAAATCATCTTAAACTTATATTTACAGCCCTTCTTTGACAAGAAACCAAAGTTTTCATTTCCATAGGTAACAAGAGGACAAACCAGTCCTGCTTTCCTATCTCCATTTCCCAAGCCCCATAAGTCTGCCCCAGTGTGAGTCCTCTGTGTCCTGCTTTGTATAGTCCCTTTTATTCTGTTGGAGGGGTTGATCAGGAGAGTATTTTCAATTGTGGGGATGGGCTAAAGGATGAAAGTTTTTCACTTTTCTAACTGTACTGAGTACCCTGGTCAGAATGCCAATATTCCTTTTTGCTAATATTCTTATTAGCATTTTTACCAAGTCATACAGTTTTTATTTTACTCAATAGGAGAGCAAAAAAGAGAGATGGGGAGATGTCAAAAAACGTTTTAAGTGTATATCTCCCTTACTTTTCCTGTTCCTCCTACACATAACATAACTACTCAGTTTAGGCTTAGAAAAAAGAAAACCTAGATGCTCAGAGTTGTACGGAGTAAATGCTTGTGGGCCCCTGTATATTCTGTGACACTTTTGCTGCCTGAGATAAGAAGATTGAGTGATAAATGATAGGAAGAGTGCCAGGTTCCTATTTTTCAGTAAAACCATTTATTTTAGTCTATGCTATTATTTTATAAAATGCAGGTATCTGTTCCTAAAGCACAAAATGTTGAAACTTTAATATTAACTTCTAAAGGTCTCTTAAGTTACTTGGTTGTGCCTAGGAGAGTGGGTATTGCAAGCATGAAAATCAATCCAATTTACAAAAAGTTTGTTGGGGAGGAAAAATTTTCTGCCCTTCAAGGTTCTTCTTGATGTTATAAAAATCAAATTGACATGAGACAGATTAATAGGAGAAAATGAAATTTAATTTTGTATATACAGGAACCCCACATACATGAGAGGTTTAAAGATGGAAAGGTTAAATGAGATACTTATGCCCTCCTGGGCTGAGGAGTGGGATAGGGGCTTGGGGCTTTAAAGGGGAGGAGGGCAATTCACCAATAAGAAAAGCAGGTATTTGGTAATTAGATGTTTGCCCTGCCATACAGATGGGTCACTCAGATGAAATTTATCTCTGGTACAAACTCATTTTGGTAAAGGCCCCAATTTAGATTCTTCTAGGTGCTTACAGGAGGGGCAGAAGTTTCTCATGAATCCACAGGGTCTTGATTGCCTTCAGCTCAAACAGTCCACAGGACAAAGTGGCATATTTTAGAGACACTTGTTTTGAACACCTTCAGTTTTATACTAAGACATTTTATTAAACAGCCTGAAGTTTATAGTCTGCATGTCCAACTGAATGTAATAATGTTTGAAAAGTTTCTATCTCTTGAAATGATAATCAGTAATAATAATAATTTCACTTGCTTATATTCAAGAATATCTTAATTTCATACTGCTCACAGCATTTTGTCTTATAAGCTCTGGAAATATGCTAGCAAATTTAAAAAGTGTACTTAATATAATAAATCCAGTTCTTGGAAGGGTAGCACTTAAACTAGTACTACATCACAATAGTTTAAACTTCAGGTTTATAATAATAAATTTATAATGGAGGTGGCTTTTTTCTCCCTCTCCTGTCTCACTGGTACTTAATTTTTTTTCAAGCCCAGAAGCACAAAGGCTTTGCAGTACTGCTGCCAAGTCTTCCATTGTCTTCCAACAACAATTTGTGTAGAGTGTTCCCAACATATTTATCTTTTTCCTCCATTTGGGATATTTTGGCTAATAGAATTGTAATACATACAAAAACTTGGCATACCAATCCTGAAAGAACCAAAGAATAACATAAGATATATATATTAAAATGGCAGTGACTGTTAATTTAACATTTTTTCTCTTTGGCCATCCTTTCAAGAACTGGATGCTCCCGGTGGGCTCCTGGAAGCATGAGTTTTCAGTTGATGAAGCCATAGCATTTGCTAGTTAGCAGAGGTCTGGTGGGCCAAGTGGTAGGTAACAGAATTTGATGGACACCAGAGAGGAAGAAAGTGGGTTCAGTTACCACAGTATCAACACCACCACCCTAGAGGCAGGAGTCCTCATTCAGCTCCAACAGCCTTAGGTTCCCAGAAGACAGCTGTGGGCAATAGGGTATTATAAAATGGTCACTCTCTGACTTTCATGGAGAAAAGAGGTAATGACCATTCCTTTTGGAGTTTTTGCCTGTAGGGAGTGAAACCCAGTGTCTCTACAGTTCCCTACTTGAACTGAGGGAGGCCCTGAAGGGGAAATGAAGGATTAGGAAATCACTCCTATTAGCCCTATCAACCCACAAAGCTTCCCAGATTTTCCCAGCATGGGATATAGACAATTTAGTGAGAAAGTAAGATGTACTTATAACCTGAATCAGTAATAAGTTTTTGAAAGAGAAAGGCATGTAAAACTAGTTTGTGGAATATCTAAACATCTCTGTGAACACATGAAAACCATGCCAGTGCATAAACCCTATATGGTCTTATCACTTACATATGTCTCAATTCTAGATTGAACCTCAACCTGAAACAAAAATGCAAACTACATCTGTGTCAAGGCAACTGTTTATAATTTCTGGCTACTCATTGTACTTACGTTTGTAGTTCATAACTTTTTGGATGGGCGTGGTGGTTTACTGTATAGTCTTAGGGCAGAGATTACGTTATAGAAAAAATCAAAGGTGGTAACTTCTCATCCTCCTGCTTTCTCAGAAGACAATGTGGCAGATGCACTGGGCTAGCTAAGTAAGGAGGACCTAAGGGAGGTTTGGTGAATTATAAAGTCAGTAATGCCTAAAAACATAGAATTCAAGGTCATATCTATGTCCTGTTCATCATCCCAACATGAAAACCTTAATTAAAATTTGCAGTCATATTTTTCCTTTCAGGTAAGTTTGTAAGTAACATTTGTTTTTAACTGATTTAATGCTTCAGCATAAAAGTATGAACTAAGTCTAGTCTATTATATTATTCATGTAGTTCTTAGTCGTTGTATCCAATAAATCAAAATCACTAACTGTATTTTTAATTTGCTTCCTCCGATAAGATTATGTATTGTAAATATATCAATAAAGGTTCATAAAAAATACTAGTTTCTCCCATCTTTTGAAATCTGGATTACTATATTTCAGCCATTTGGGATATCATTTAAAAAGGACTTTTCATTGAATTGTTCATTCTTTGTTCAGGATGTGTGTGTGTGCGCGCATATGCATGCATACGTGTGTGAGAACAGAGATTTTGAGACTGAGATTTAGAGGAAATATGAATTGACAATTCTTGCCAATTATGAATGACATGTTTAATATTTCACAGGTGAAATAGCCCAATATTTGGCATGTGCTTATAATTTAGCATATGATGAAAAACCAAATTACCAAATGCTCAAGAAAATTCTGAACCCAGGTGGAATGCCTTTAGGACCACTGGAATTTTCCACCAAAGGAGAGAGTATAAATGTGTATACTCCAAACAATCAAACAGTAAGTAATGTAGTCCATGGGATCCTACAATTACGCTTTTCTACCAAATGAAGTTGTTATAGGTCTCATCATAAGTCTGACAACCCAGTTTCTTATTACATTTAATTCATATTTCCCATAATTCAGCTCCAAGAAATTTTGTTGAAAGTTGTGACCTATTGTCTCTTAGAGAAAAATAGTAGGATATGTGGCCTATTTAATGTACTATTAAAGAAATAAAGCAATCACTGATGTCATAGAGATATGAATAGTGCAAGATAAAAAGTTAATTCTGATTTTATTCATAAGAACTTTCATTTACTGCTTTTTCTTACGCTTTTCTTTAATTTGATAGTGATATGCTTAGATTTAACCTGATTATTTGCATCTGCTGATATTTCAATCTATAGAAGTAATTCTTTTTAAAAAGTTTTGTTTTTAAAGTTACAACTGCTCCTTTATCTTCCAACAAACTCCCATACACCAACTTACAGAAAAAAAAAATTAGAACTTGAAAGAATATAAAAGAATTAGGGCTTAACTTTTAAAAGGGTTGGGGCTAAGCTGAGACTTCTGTCAGCAGCATTAATGGACAGGCAACTAAATGTCCAGTCCTTCCTTGACACTATCCATATGTAAAAAATATTTTTCCTGATGCAAGTACAATAAGGTGAGGTCAGGATGCCATTCATTTTTAATATTTGTTATGAACTTTGGATCATCACAAGTGTTCATGAGCCAAGAATGCAGGATGCAAACTAATGTGACTGATAGGCTGCTAGATGAATGGTGAGTCAAGTATCAGTGCACAGATGGTTCTGATTTGCTGAATTTTGTAGCTGCTGCAACTGAAGACATAAAATATCCTTCTACTCATAAATTAGCTCTTTGGAAGCAAAACCTTGGCACCAGAGCTTTACAACCTTCAATTAGTAGGGAAAGAAGTATTTGAATGACTGTGGTATTGACATCTGTAGGCCTGCATAGTAATCATTCCTAATAGAAGAGAATATCTGTTTGAGGAGGTTTTGCATGGCTAATTAACTACCAGTGAGAATATGTAATTTTTTCATGATCTCCTGATTGTCACCTTTCTCTCATGATACAATTACATTTTATTGTTGCAAGTGCCTCACAAACCAATTGTCAGCACTATTTACGTATTGCAGAAGGCAGAACAAAAGTTCATGTTTAATAAAAAGCCACTGGATTTTGATCTTGGTAATTACTGAGACTTATTTTAACAGTTTTATTGACTTTTGTGTTTTTATCACTTTTGCAACAAAACAAAGAGCCATTTCCTTGACACAGTATTTCTCTTGCAATAATGGTCACCAGTTAATCTACACTAATTTAAGTAGATTTTTTTCCTTTTTTGTAGTTTCTCAGTTTCATAAACTTAATTGAAATATAAAAGAAGCCATTTTAAAAACTGATAGCTATATCCTCTGATATAAAATTGTTATCCACTAGAATTTTCAGTTTCATTAAATTCAAATGATATTTGTTGTAAAACCATTGTTATACTCAGAGAATAGATTATAAAACATTTTTTTTCCAATGAGCCTCAATCAAAAATACTTTATTCTTCCTTCTTGACTAGAACACTTGGAAAATGAGTAAAAAGCAAATACTAACAATAATATGCATTCTTAAGACCTTAGTTAATTTTTGTTAGCATTATATGATCAACCTCAATGTACAGACAGTAAGATGATTTCAGGGTATGTTTCTCAGTGGATCAACATTTATTGAATAATGACTTTATTTCTAGTTTTTTAATGTGCACAAATATATTTAATAATTATAGTAAAATTATATGTTCAGCATGTTGTTAAACCTTAAGTATCTTTATTTTTAAAGCTTAAAGATTTTATAATGCCGTGAAAACCAAACTTGAAAATGTTCAAAAGCAAAATATAACAATATAAATTGTCCTGTACTCAGTTCCCCTGAATGATACAAGTATAGCATAGTTTCCCCAATTGATTGGTTCTATAACAAAAATCATTTTAAATCCAGAATGAATGTCAATCATTCTGAATGGCCCCAAATTTCTCGATTTTTAGTCACAGAAATCCCTTATTAAGCATTTGTTATTCTGTTCGTGATTACTTAACAAAATAACGAATGGTCTCTGGCTTGTTCTTTTTGGATAGATACTTAAAAAGAAGTCAGTGGATAAGAAAACATAGTTAGATAAATAAAATGTTTCTATGATTCAGTATTCAAAGGAGTTAACAAATTTTGATTTTTTTAAAATGTTATTTCTTTCAGTGTAAGTGGTTGTGTCTTTTTAGTATTAACAAAAATGCATTTTGGTTGGGTATTAGAAAAACAGCACATCACAAGAATATCAGCAAACTTACACCATCCTTTTGCAAAAGAAAAATGAGGTATTTTTCTAATACTGGGTTTTACTAGTCATCATAAAGTGCTCCACGTAAACTGAGCCTTATTCTTGAAGTCCTCAAATACTGTTACTAGTGTTAAATTGGAAATGAATTTTTGTCAAGAGAGTAGAGACACTGATATTTTTTCCTGGAAAGCAAATCTTTTGCTTAGAATATTTGCCTCAATCAGAATGACGGTTTGTATAGCTGAAATCACTCTCCAGTAGTTCTGATGGCTCCTGAGGTAGCACTGTCAAATTAGAAGAATCTATCATCAGAAGTACCACAGTCTATTTATTCCATCCACTGGGATTTATTGTCCAAAATTCACTGAAGGAAACTATGTCTCAGTAAGAATGTTTATTGAGGTAAGCTAAAGCTCTAGAACTCCCAGATGAAAATGCCAAAATCAACTCAGAAAACCAGCGGCACTGAATGCCTCAATTCAACAATTGAATAAGCTGTTTCTTCAAGAGCCAGCAGTGGATCCTTTGATCAGTTTATCCATATTTTCCTCTTTATTATGATGGCTGAATCCACATTGTAACAGTATAGACACCTGGATATAATGAGCCACCCATCCTTCCTAAATACTTGACAGGGCAGAGAAGTAGTCATAGGTCAGAGCTGAATGTTCAAGCAATCCTAATTTCAGACAAGTAAAAGTTTGTTCCTTATTTACTCTAAATCTGAGGTCCCCACATCAAATCCTGGGGTGGGTATATTATTATTGATTATAGTAATCTTTGTATTGGGCTTAAAAGCTGACAAAATTCTTTCTTGAGCTTTCTCAAAATAATTCTGTTAAACTTCGTATTTATTATCTGTAAGAAAAGTAGCATAGATATTCTGAATTATATTTTTGGCTTATTAAATTTTAGGAGTCCAAAGTATTCCTGATTTTGCAGAACTGTGAAGTGCCAATGAAAAATTAAATAAAAAACACATTATTCGAATAGCCACTTTCTTGAAAATGACACACATTTTGGACAGTATCCTCTTATTTGATTATGTGGGATACCCAGGGTGTTTTCTGTATTTACTTCTATATCTTTGAGAAAAAGTTTTACTTTAGTTACAATCAAGATTTAAACTTAATCAGCCCACTTTATTCCTACCATTTTAAAAGTTTCCTTGAAATAGGAATTTCTATCAACAGTTATTTTGTTTATTAGCTAGAAATGCTATGGCAGTGCAACCTAACCATCTGGCCAACTGACAGCAGATCCAGGAGCCATCATCTCTTCCAGGAAGCCTCACAGAGGATTGAATATATTCAATCTAATTTTGTTTGTACATCAGAGGCTCCCAGGCCAAAAACTGTTAAACTAAAGTGCCTAGCATATAGGAGGCACTAAAAACCTCAATCAATATCTCAACTAATCCTTTATATCACAGAACACATTTTCACAGTGATTGGCAAACCAGTGTTTTATTAGGGTAAAACCATGTACAACAGCTTTGGGAAACCCTTTGTTTCACACTAGTGGTATGATGAGCATTTATTACCACAACAGTTTCAGTGGAAGAGAGTGACTCAGAAGGTGGTTCATGCAGTTTGGGATCATTGAGTGGTGGAAATAAAGAACCCCTGAGTGATTAGGAAATAATTCCAATTTCTAGGTTACTGAAAAGCAGTGACTTTGCTATCCTTTGAGAAGCTGGGATTTGGGAGGAGGGGTGAATAGAAAATAGTGTTGTGACAGCTTAGCCCTATCCGCAAAACACCAGCATATTTTAAACGGAAGGAGTGAACACACTTGGCAACAAAAGCTAAAAATTGAGAGAGTACAAATTAAGGCTCTGCTTGCCCAGCCAATGGAGTTCATTCTTGGTTTGGCTCTCGCTACTCCATTATTTCCCCTTGTGCTGTTCCTTCCTATCTTCTGCCCCCTATTTAGCCCATGAAAAAAGGTGATGGCACTTTCAGCTGTGATAAACATGAAGCTGCTGAACAAATACTTCACATAAGGGTCTTCACTATGGCTTTCAATCTTCCACCTGTACTGAGGGAACTGCCCTTCTTTTTCCATGTCTACTTCAAGGTTATTGAGAGTCAGTCATCTCCCAAATAAGACCATGGTGTGAAAAAGAAACCTTACAGACAGCAAGCTTGTTGTAGAAGTTAACCTCTGATACATACAATATTAGATGACATAAACTGTTAATCATCTGCCCAAAGGTTAAAAATTACCTTTATGAAAAAATAAGCAACATCCTAAGCTGCTTTTATACATTCACATTAATTAGGCTCACTTCAAAGATAGAAAACTAAGATTCTAATTAATAAGAATTTAAATTAAAAAGGTATATTGGATCCACTTCTAGCAAAGGTTAATAATGAATTCATGTGCAGTCTTAAAATGTGACAGTTTTCTGTAAAAATGCCGTTATCAATAAGCAAGTTATCTGTAGAAGTAATTTCTAAAAAGTGTACAACAGTGACACTAATTTTAATTGGTCTTCTATTGATGAGAAAGGGTCTGGATCTTGCCAACTAGTATTTTTTTCTGTAACACCCATTTGTTGGTTTCCTTTTTATTCCTTCCTTTTTTCAAAGCTTGGCAAGTTTAGAGTTTTCAAAAATCTAGACATGAATGCATTTTTTTTACAAGTGTCAAAAGTTTTTATTATATATTATTACTTACTCTGTATCAACAGGTTGATTCGAGAAAGGCTGCAGCAAAGCAAGTCAATCAGATGCAAAAGAGGTTAAGAGAAAAAAATGTCCATAGTGAAAGAAGTGCTGAGTCCTGTGCAATGTGGAGAAAAGTGCTAAAAGAGGAGGCGCTGATTGGATTGCTTCACAATGAAAACGCTCAGGTGAAGGAGTTTTTGTAGGCTTTTTTTCCCCTCAATGTTACATTAGAATATGGCCTTTGCGAATAGATATTTTACTTTCTTCTGAGGGCCAAGGTTGTATGGTTTTGTTAAAAGAGAAGGGACAGAAAATATCCTATCTAGTAGATAAAAATCAAAGCAGGTGACACCAGTTATCATAGAAACAGAATGATAGCACATTTGGGTACAGATCTGCTTTCTTTCTTTAGCCTAAGAATGTAATTCAGTGCACTTAAATTTTTTATGCCATCTATGAACCATTAGGAACTCTTAACATATTCCATACTTTTACATTGGTTCCTTGAGTCTCACCCTTATAATCAAATGTAAGGAAGTATCTCTGTAATATGGTTGTATTTTAAATTGATGTATTTTTACATCATTTGATCATTTGGTTGGACAGCGACTCACCTTTAGCAGATGACTCATTCAGGCAAAGCAAAAGTCTTTCCTACTCTAACCTCTCTTGAAAGCATACAATACTTATATCTGCAGTGAAAAAAATTTTTTTCCCAGTGGCCAACATTTCTTATGATTTATACATGGTCATTTTCCCCAAATGATTTGAGGTAGTTTACAGTGTGAAACAGGATAATTTAATGTCCCTACCTTCCATTTCCCAACCTCCTTCCCCCACAAACTGGTATATTAGGCAGCTGAAATGATAATCACTAAGCTGAGCACTAAATTTGGCTCTGAACTTCTTGGCAGCCAAGGCAAAAATTAGAAGCATACAAATTAGGCATTTCTTATCTAACCAGCAAGCATACAAGTTTATGCAGAGAGGAATGTTTTTTTTTTAGTGCTAATAGGAATCCGTTGCATTTATTATATTATAAAACAGCATAATTGTTTTTTTATTTTTAAATTGATATACAAAGGAATCTACTTCAAGTGGACATATGTTATATGATGTCAAAATTAAAGCAAATTTGTAAAATTTATGACAAATATTCTTTGGTGACAAAATTTAGAGATTCTTGAGGGTTCTTTTTTAACATTTACTGTGTACCAGAATCACCTGTATATGGAGGCAGGGAGGGACTATAAAAATATTGATGCACAGGTTCCAAACAAAGAAATTGGTTCATTTTAATATCGGATGACCCATGTGTGTAGATGTCATTATTCCAGAAAGCTCTTTGCTCCTTTTCTCAGTCAGTCCCCTGACTCGAGACAACCACTGTTCTGATACTCTGGTTTTCATCACTAGATAAGTTTTGCATCTTGTAGAATTTCATGTACATGTAGTCATACAATATGCATTCTTTTGTGTCTGGCTTCTTTCATTCTGCATGTTTTCTTGAAATTTTTCCACATTGTTGCATGTATTAGTAATTCTTTTTTGTGTTGAGTGATATTCCATTGTGTAACTGCATCACAGTGTGCATTCCGTTCTTCTACTAAGGGACATCTGGGCTGCCCCTGGCTGCAGCCACCAAGAATAGTTGTTGTGGGCATTCTGACACAAGTTCCTTCTATGGATACATATTTTTTATCCTAAGAAGTGGAATTGCTGAGTCATAGAACAGAAGTATGGTCAATTCTATAAAATGCTGACAAATATTTCCTATTTTACATTCCCATCAGTCATGTTCCAGCCATCCAATATCCTTCCCAGCATTTGGTGTTGTCTGTCTTTTTAATATTAGTCATAGCAACATTTGTCTATCAATATCTCCTGGTGATTCCAATTATCATTCATCTAATGACTAATAATTGTGAGCATCTTTCATGTGCTTACTATTTATATATCTTCTTTTGTGAAGTCTTTTTTTAAATGTTTTGATTCATTTTTATTTGGATGATTGTCTTTATATTATTGAGTTATAGGAATTCTTTACATATTCTAAATGCATGTGTCCTGTCCAATATCTATCTGTTCTGTGGACCTGTTCTCTAAGTGTGCAGCCAGCCTATTCATTTACTTTAGGTGTCTTCAATTAGCAGAAACTATGTTAATATTTTTACTTTAAGTTCAATTTATCAATTTTTTTCCCTTTTCTGTAAAGAAATCTAAGAAATATTTGCCTACCTCAGGGTCACAATGTTATTTTGCTATATATTTTTTAGAAGGCTTATAGTTTTACTTTTCACTTTTGGGTCTATCAGCTATCTGAGATCATTCCTGTGTATGGTTATGAGGTTATAGATTGAGGTTCATTCTGTTCAATACAGAAAGCCAGTTGTCTCAGCACCATTTGTTAAAATATTTTCCTTTTTCTATTTCTTTAGAGCCTTTCTCAAAAGTCAGCAGACCATATAAGTATTTGTCTGTTTCTGGACTCTCTCTTCTCTTCTACCAATCTATTTGTCTATCCTTATACCAAAATCACACTGCAACAATTACTGCAGCTTTACAGCAAGCTCTGAAGTAAGGTGGTACAAGTCCTTCAACGTTTTTCTTTAAGAATACCATACCAATTTTAGGTTCTGGTCCCTTCCATAAAATTTAAGAACCAGATGGTCAATTTCCATTAAAAAGCAGAGATTTTCATTGGGACTGCACTAAATCTAAAACTCAGTTTAGGGGGAACTGAAATCCCAATAGCATTGAGTCTTCTAATGTATTAACATGATACATTTAGGTAAATCTCCATTTAGGTAAATCTTAATCTCTCTCAACAGCGTTTTATAGTTTTCAGTGTAGATACCTTACATATTTTCCACTAAAATTATCTTTATTTTGTTTCTTAGTCTGTTGTAAATATGTTTTTTACAAATGTCATATTCCAGTTATCCATTGCTGGTATATAGAAATACAGTATATTGGCTTGTGTCTTGGGAGATACCTAAATTCACTTATGAGTTCTGGTAGTTTTTTTTTGTATATTCTTAGTTTTTTCTACAGTCAGTCATGTCATCTGTGACTAAAGTTTTACTTTCTCCTTTCCCACATGTATGCCTTTATTTTTTTCATGGCATATTACACCTGCCAGCACTTCTAATGCTGCAGTGAAAGTGGGAATCCTTACTTTTGTTCAGTGTTGTCATGCTGAATTTAATTTGCTATTACTCTGTTAAAGATTTCTATCTCTACACTGATGACAAATAATAGTGTGTAACTATCTTATTCTTGTAAGAGTTATGTAAGTTGGAAGTGTCTGTTTTCAAAAATATTGTAAGATTTGTCTTTCATAAATCCATCTTGGTGTAAAGTTTTGTTATGGGTAAATTTTAAATTACAAGTTTTCTATAACAGATGGAATGATCATTAGATTTTTTTCTTATATAGGTTTTGATACTGTGTATCTTTCAAAACAATTGTCCATCTAATCTAAATTGTCAAATTTGTCAGCACTATGTAGTTTATGATACTCTCTTATCCTTTTAGCATCATCAATATCCATGTTGATGCCCCTCTCATTCCAATAAATGGTAACCTAGTTTCTTTCCTTTTTCTTTTTTTTTTAATAGACCAGCCACATGCCTGTCATTTTTATTTATCTTCTCAAAGAACCAGTTTTTGGATATGTTGGTTTTTCTGCTATTAGTTTTCTATTTCACTTCTTTCCATGCACTATCCTTCTACTTATTTTGGATTTAATTTATTCTTTCAGTCTTCATAATTGAAAGCTTTAATCATTGATTTTTAAGGCTTTTCTCTTTCCTAAAATATAGCTAAAGCTATAAATTTTTAAGCAGTGCATTAGCTATATTTCACAAGTTTTGATATGTTGTTTTCATTATTATTCAGTTAAATTTATTTTCTGATTACTCTAGACTTATTCTTTGACCCATATATAATTTAGATGTATGTTAATTGCTAAGTAATTTTAAGATTTTCCAGATACCTTTTTGTTACTAATTTCTAATTTAATTGTTTTCATCAGAATATATCCTGTATTTATTGCTATCCTTTAAATTCATTAAAACTTGTTTTATATCCCAGAAGAATGTCTACCTTGGTGAATATTCCTTGTGTACTCTTTATTTCATGTTTTTTTTATTAGGGTACCACTGATATACACACTTATGAAGGTTTCACATGAAAAACATTCTGGGTAATACATTCACCCATATTACTAAGTGCCTCCCATACCCCATTGAAGTCACTGTCCATCAGTGTAGTAAGATGCCACAGAGTCATTACTTGTCTTTTATGTGTGACTGGCTTCCCCGTGACCCCCACCACACCATGTGCACCAATCATAATACTCCTCAATCTCCTTCTCCCTTCTTCCCCACCCACCCTACCCTACCCCACCACACCCCTAGTCCATTCTTGGAATCTGTGAGCCTGCTACTGTTTTGTTCCTTCAGTTTTCCTTCATTGTTATACTCCAAAATGAGTGAAATCATTTGGTACTTCTCTTTCTCCACCTGGCTTATTTCACTGAGCATAATACCCTCTAGCTCCATCCATGTTGTTGCAAATGGTAGGATTTGTTTTCTTCTCATAGCTGAATAGTATTCAATTGTGTATATGTACCACCTCTTCTTTATCCATTCATCTACTGATAGACACTTAGGTTGTTTCCATATCTTGGCTATTATACATACTGCTGCAATAAAAATAGGAGTGCATATGTTTTTTTGAATTTGAGAAATGTTGTCTTTTGGTAAATTCCTAGGAGTGGGATTCCTGGATCAAATGGTATTTCTATTTCTAGTTTTTTGAGGAACCTCCATATTGCCTTCCACAATGGTTGAACTAATTTACATTGCCACCTGTAGTGTAGGAAGAGTTCCTCTTCTGTGCATCCTCACCAGCATTTGTTGTTCTTAGTCTTTTTGATGTTGGCCATCCTAACTGAGGTGAGGTGACATCTCATTGTGACTTTAATTTGCATTTCCCTGATATGTGGAGCAACTTTTCATGTGCCTGTTGGCCATCTGAATTTCTTCTTTGGAGAAGTGTCTCTTCATATCTTCCACCCACTTTTTAATAGGGTTATATGCTTTTGGGGTGTTGAGGCATGTGAGTTCTTTATATATTTTGGATGTTAACTCCTTCTCAGATATGTCATTTACAAATATAT